GGTACCAGGGGCATTTCTGCAAAGGCCCCGAGGGCAGAACTGAAAAATGCAGTATTTGAAAGTGACGCCCGAATTGCAGCATGGCGCCAGTTGTCCAAAATCCTACGGTACCAAAAGGAGGGGTTTGGAAAAAGGGTGTCAGGCCGAAAACGGGATGCAGCCGAAACAGCAAAAGATAGACCAGGGATCGAGCCCTGGCGAAGTCCGTAACAGTGAGAGTCCTTACACTTGTGGTTTGGTTTGCATGTGACTGGATGAGATGACTAAGTTTGTTTGGGTTTCAATTTTATAGGTAGTTGCTTTAGTTGCTCGCCACGTGCTAGAGCCATAGAAGTTAGTGTAAAGTCCTGCATTTTCTGAGATCTTTTCTTATACTTGACTTTGTGTAAATCTTGACAAACTCCTTTTCCTACGGGAAGCGCTGCCGAAAGTTTTACAAATCCGAGAAGTTAGTCAACTTTTGACTTGTCAGAGTTCAACTAGTCTTTTTCATATATCTGGCTTAGTTAAAATCTGAGAATCTCCTTTTCTAAACGGAGTGCTGCCCAAATTTCTGCTAATTCAGGGAGTTAGACAAAATTGAACTTTGGGAAGCCAAAAGTTACTTTGAAAATCTGAACTTAACCTTATATAAATTTTGGAATAGCACCTTTCTAGAGGGAGTGCTGCCGAAATTTCTACAAAATTAAGGAGTTAGTTAAATTCAGTCTAAAGTTGAGCTCGAACTGTTGTTCGAGTTCATATCTGACTGAGTATAAATCTGGGAAGTCTCCCTTTCTAAAGGGAGTGCTGCCCAAATTTGATTTTCCAGAGTTATAGATTATTTCTGCTTTTATATCTAACTTAGTATAAATCTGGGAAGTCTCCCTTTCTAAAGGAAATGCTGCCCAAATTTGTACTAATTTAGAGAGTTGGACAAAATTTGGCTTTTCGGAGTTAGAAATTATTTATATTTTTCATATTCTGACTTATATAAATTCTGAAAAGGCACTTTTCCTACGGGAAACGCTGCCGAAATTTTCTTAGTTTATGGGAGATAGATTATATTTTGAGAGGTGGTGATTCAGGCGATCCACCCAGAATAGGGGAGATTCTGCAGTTGGTTTACCTTTGGCTTAAGCACTGACTTAAAAGTAGACTTAGGTTCAACTTATAAGGAGATTTTGAGTGAGGGTGTATTATGGAGTTGTATTCTCCATACACTTATGATCTTAGCTTGGGGATTGGTCTGCCGTGTATTACAGGTCCTTTTGATAATTTGATCCAAGTTCAGGGCTAGATCCAGCTTGATCCCTTGAGGATCACTTTCTGTTATCACTGATAACAAGTCGGTTGCCGATTCGTGGGTCTACGACTCAATTTCAACTTTCCCTCCACACTCAACCTAAAAGGCTTTAGCCCTGGTGATCTTCGTTGTTTTATTAAGGTTTTCACCTAGACTTTTATTGAATGGCCATTTAACAAAGGTACTGAGTATTTAATTAAGGTTGGTTGGACAGGAGGTTTTGGGGTTTGTATGGCTAAAGCGAGGGGTATGAGTGTCGAAGGTGGTTGGGATTAACTCCGTGTAATGTGTGGGTTGTTGATTTGGTTCGTTGATGTGACTGCAGGTATGTGTTGTGAGTCAGATTCTGGATTTGGTTGCCTGCGATCACACATATACGTATTATTGTGAGAAATCTCAGTGAGGCCGTTAAAAGTAATCGTCACATACTTAACCCTTATATACGTATACATCAGTATACTTGGGATGAATGTTTGCATGGGCTGAAGAGTTCCCATATTAAAGCCCCACTCAGAAGCTGGGACTGAGGAACTTAGGGGAGCCCCCTACTTCTATATTTGTTCCTGCTTTTTTATGATTTTCTTAGTCGGACGTTTGGTCCTGGGCCGGGATTCGAGGTCCTTGTCCAGGACACCCCAAGCCCTAGGCTCTGCAGGGGAGGGGTTTTCCCTCGCGCAGAGCCTATTTGATTTGCCTACCGAGACACTCAGGCCAAGAGCCGGAGGTATCGTAGCGGCTGCATGGCTATTCCTTCAGCCGTGCAATGTCATGAAGGGTTAGGCCCTCACGACACTTTAAGTTAGACACTCGAGTGTCATAAGCGGTACTTGATTTCACGAGAGGCCGCTTGATTATGGGCACTACATAGTACGCCATCATTGCGACTGCTTGCGTACAATCGCATTTGCAAGTTAATATGCGATAGCCCTGCGTCCGCGCGGTTTTATACCTAGTCTCTCGCGCGACGCCTATTCGATTTCCGCGTTGGAAAGTTATGGGTTGGCTACCAAGGGGCTAGGAGCGTTGTCGCGTTGTT